CAAGCGTTTCAAACTAACCACCCTTCATGTTTTTTTTACTATTTGGATGTATCCTCCTCTTTAATTCTTTGTTATATTCTCCTATATCTAAGAAATGTTCCTTTTCTTCCATTTCCTGTCCTAAAGCTCTTCAATGTTGTTGTATACTGTGGAGTGGGTTCTGACTCAGAGTGACCCTATATAGGGTTTCCAAGGAGCGGCTAACCTTGCAAAAACCACTGACCTTGCAGTTAGCAGTCTAGTGCTTATCCTATAGTGCCACACCAAGACTTTCTGAATTAATCTTCACAAAAATTATATTATGAACTGTAACCTCTTCCAAAGAAAAAGTGTGCTACCACTCTGAAAAGATTAATACCCTGTAGCAGTGTGTCACATGGGAAAACAATCACTCGCTTTGGATGGGTCAGTTAGCCTCAGATGCCTCACATATCAAATGAGGTTAATACATACTTTGCTTTAAGAGTGGCTGCAAGATTTCCAAAGTGAATGTATAAATATCTAGCAGAATAGTTGGCACATAAAAGTGTTTCTCAGTAATATTAATATCTCTATCCGGTTTGGAAGTGATTTCTAAACTTGAAGGCTAGGGAGTTTCACTATTAAAGGTTCATAATCCCTGATGCACAATTTAGAAATCCAAAGTCACTGAAACCAAAAGCTTTTTCTAACTGATACTGAAACATTCTAAATTTCCAAACTAGCAATTATGAGCCTAAAACATTTTGTGTAGCATCAAACACAATAAATCCATAAAGAAGAAAGAAAGATAAAGACTAAATTCAGCTTTGCTATTATTAATCTTCAGGAATCCTGGTGGGGCACTGTAGGATAAGAACTGGACTGCTAACTGCATGGTCGGTGGTTCAAACCCACCAGCTGTTCCTTGGAAAGCTCATATAGGGTTGCTATGAGTTAGATTTACAGCCTCAGAAACCCTATGGAACAATTCTATTCTGGCCTATAGGGTCACTCTGCATCATACTGTACTTGATGTCAGTACACGGCTGTTAGTAACTATGTTCCTTAGCTTCAAAACCATCACTGGTAAATTGAAGGAAATGCCCTAGATAAAACCCTTAAATTCTTTCAACTTTTGAATTGAAATTAAAAAGCATCTCTGAAAAACGTTAAAATATTAAGTTGACCTGTTGTTAGGTGCCATCGAGTCGGTACCGACTCACAGAAACCTTATGCACAGCAGAATGAAACACTGCCCGATCCTGGGCCAACCTCACTACTTTTGCCACGATAAGTTGACTACAACTGCTTATATTTAAAACATTTTGACTATATTTTTCCTAAAACATTTTCTAAATAAGAGCCAAAAAACTATGTATAAAGAATGGAAGGGGAAAAAAAGTCATATAAGAAAAATACACACTATCTTCATAGCAGGGAGCATGGTGACTCCATACTGTAAACACTGGACTGTGAACCACAAGGTCAGTGGTTCGAGTCCACCAACCACTCCATGAGAGAAAGATGAGGCTTTCTGTTCCCGCAAAGATTTAAATACTTGGAAACTCTATATAGAGTCTCTATGAGTCGGAATGTACTCTACCGCATTAAACAATAATCTTCATGACAAATACAAAGAAGAAAAGGTGGTATTATGCAAAGAATGCTAGCTTTGTATTCAGAAGATTCAGGTTCAACTCTAGGCTCTGCCATTATGATTCTGAAGGCTATATTAAGCTTTTGTCTTGTTATATTACTGTTGCTAAGTGCCATAGAGATCTGACTCACAGCGACCCTGTATAGGATTTCCAAGGAGTGTTTGATAGGCTTGAATGCCACCCTTGTGGCTAGCAGTCCATTGCTTATCCTACAGGGCCACATCAGGGCCCCCGCCAAGAAAAAAACCCCACCTCCTGTGAACCACAAGGTCACCAGTTCAAACCCACCAGCTGCTCCTCAGAAACCTTTACAGGGTTGCTGTGAGTCAGAATCCGCTAGATGGAACTTAACTTCAAAGGTTGTAGTTGCAGTGAAGCTAAAACAAGATTCTGAAAACTTAAAAAAGTTAAAAATGCCACAGATTATATTCTTTAATCAGCATCAATATATATCAGTATTTACCAGACAGAAAATAATTTTAATTATTATAGTGAAGGGCAGAAGGGGCAAGCAGGACTGGGAATTAACAAATCTGGTTCTACTAGTATATGACACATGGTCCTTGACTTCTCCAGTCCCACTGTCCTCATCTGGTGCTATAGGACAAGAACTAGAGTGCTAACCTTACGATCAGCAGTTCAAATCCACCAGCCTCTCTAAGAAGCCCGATACAAGGTCGTTGCTGTAAGTCAGAACTGACTCAATTGAAAACAGCACAACCACCTAATGTGCTAGACACATGTCACTGGAAAAACACGCTGTAGCTGAGCATCACTCACTTCTTTGTGAAACTACTATCAAGACACCAAATTATTACATTTCTTATGATTCTTTTAACGCTTAGGTAAATATTAAAGTAATTTAACAAGCCACCAACTCAAGTTTAATTATATTTGCTTTATTATAGGTCATGAAGATTATTAAAAACATCTTTAAAAAAGTTACATCAAGATATTCTATCACTAAAATATGGATTATCAGAAATCACTTTTTTTTCAATTCATCTGAAAATGACAAAAAACAAAGTATACAACATGCATACATTAATTTCACTCTTCATTTGGGGGCAATTAAACAAGATTAAAATTATGCATAAGAGATACACTGAGCAAAAATTTCTTTGTAGAAATTCCAATGCCCCTCAAAACTTACTGTTGTCAGGTGCAGTCAGTAGGTTCCCACTTATAGCGACACTGTATAGGTTTTCAAGGAGTGGCTCGTGTTTGAAACAAGAACCTTGCCATTAACAGCCCAGGGCTTATCCTACAGTGCCACGCATAATACACAAGTATTTATCCCCACATGATGATATTAAAAAACCCCAAGTTTTTTAGTAAAAAAAGTTCTGTTCACTTTCCAATATCTAAATGTGGGGACACAACTTTATGCAGTTGAGTATAACAATGTCACTACAATAAAATAGGCTATCAAAATTTAGCCATTGGAAGCTTAAAAGGCACAGAAAAATAATCATGTAATTTCACTACACAGTACTTCTAGGAGACAATGCAAATCTTTATCATAATTGTGTCTGTATGACCTGATCCTAAATAAATGATTCTACACAAATGAATGGCAGATACTAGTTAAATTATATGCCAAAAAAGTATGTTGTTTTTAAGTGCCATGGAGTAGGTTCCAACCCACAGCGACCCTATAGTTTCGGAGGTTTTAAATCATTGCTGGAGCATTTAGTCTCATCTCTCTCCCACAGAGAGGCTGGTGGGCTCGAACCGGCGACCTTGTGGTTCGCAGTCCAGTGCTTTTTCTATGGGGCCACTGCCTTCCCTAAAGAATGTATGCATACAACAAAATAAAGAGCTCAGGTACCATAGTGGTTACGAGCTTTCGCAGGAGGTGAGGTCTTCTGCTCCCGTAAACATTTACAGCCTCGGAAACCCTGTACAGGGTCGCTGCTTCAGACCCGACTCCAAGGCAAACCACACCCACCACCACCTTACAAAATACGCAAACCTTTCAGGGTGATGACGTGTTATCAAAGAAACGGAAAGTGAAATTGGAAGGTAAAGACATGCAGGTAGTTAGCACACGTTCCCTATTCCCATTTAAAGTAGGAGCAAGCAGCACCATACCAATTCCAGCTGGAGACGATGACCTAGTTCATGGGATAGAACTTGTGCAACAAAACCCTCTCCAGGGTCCCCTAACTCGGTTTAGAGCGCCTTTAAGTCAACATACTTCCGTTTCCCACCAAACTTAGGATGGAGCAGGGGAAGCAGAAACTGTTTAAAACATTTTAAAACTATTCCTCTATCTAATTACCTAGAAAACTCTATGTTAAGTTGCAAGTGTCCTACATGAAAAGAGTCAAGGAGCTTATATTTATTTGTGACTGCTCTCCTTTTTAAAGGCTTAGACAGATTGAACTACACCACACCCCTCCATAAATGGCACATTCCATACAGTGGTCAGGAGGCTGGTAAAAGGCGGTTCCACTGTCCGCCCGGGGGACAGCAAAATTACTGATTTCTGTGAGTGAAGTCTGCTGGTTAATTGACCCTAGACCTTTTTGTATTAAAATTATTTCAGGAAAAGGAATGGTTTAACTAAGTAACGATACACGTATGCCTGGGAGGAGGGAACCGGAACGAAAACCACACGGGATTTGGGTCATGCAGTTAACCCGCACCTCCCTGGGTAGTGACATTCCCTGAGGAAGGGCATTTCCAGGTGGCGGGGATGAGCGAACTTTGGAGTTAACAGTTCCCAAAACAACCAGGTGGGGCTGAAGCAGCAGCCCACGGTTCTCCAGTTTCCGGGACCTAACAGTTACTTTTGCCCAAGGGGGAAAAGAACGCGTCCCGCCCACCAGCGGCCGCTCCGATCCGGGAGGCGGGCCCTACCGGGACCCAGGAGGAGACGCGGGAGGGGGCCGTGCAGCCCCTCCCCCCTTCATGTGGAACACCCTCCTCCGCTCCAGGAAGACTGAAGACCCCCCACCCCCAGGGGTGAAGGGTAAGAGACCAATGCCTGTCTGTGCCCACTGGGTTCCTCCCGCAGGCCGGGAGGAGGTGGGGCCAGGTTGGGGGCGCTGACTGCACACCCCTCCCCCGCCAGACTCTGGCAGTTCAGGGAACACCCCGCCCGCCCGTTCCAGTGCAGCGGGTGGGGGAGGCAGCGGAGCAACCCGGAGCCCTGCAGCGGGGCGGGGAGGAGCACGCGCATGGGCGCGCGACCGCCACCCCCGCGCAGCCCCGAGAGCTAGCGAGGCCCCCCACGCTCAAGGGCGCGCATGAGCCCAAAAGGGAGGAGGCCGCGCGTAGCACCGGAGGGCTGACTGTAGGCTTCTATCCCCTAGTCCTTCACCACTCTCCCACAGTTCCCTCCAACCCGCTCCAGGCCTCGCACTCCGCACTGACCTGACAGGCCGAGACATGTTCGCTGTCGAAACAGGAGCTAGTCGAGAAGCCAAAGACCAGGATTCCACCCCGCGCGCCCCCCCCCCCCAACTTCAGCCGCTGCGGCCGCTGCAGCTGAACCTCGAGCTGCTGGTTTCTCAAACTCCGCTGCGCCTTGTTTCAGGGCCCCTTGGTCAGACGAGCCCCCCGCTCCCCTGTCTCTCCAAAATGGATGAATCAAACCAGCCGAAAATGCGCCAAAGCCACCGTGCAACCAAACCCGCTAGGGATTTTGTGCTCCGCCCAAACCTGATCGCTCATTGGCGGTTCCTGCCAGATGCGCCCAACTCATTAGTGCATTTGAATCATCACGTCTCTTTAGCTCCGCCCCTTAGACACGCTCCGCCTCCTCCGCGGGGGTCTTGTTAGTCAAGATGCTTTGAGAGCGCACGGCCGCAAAACAAAAATGGTCGCTGTTCATCCCGCCCCCTGGTTTCTACTCCAGAGTTGCAGATTCGTCTTACGTCGCATTTGGGGACAACTAGAAAAGAAGACTTATATAGAATTTAGCATCACTTAGAGTGTTAGTTTGTTGCTGTTTCATTTCGCCTGCCTTCTTCATGTAGAAATTCCGTTAAGAATGAAACCTGTGGTACAGCCCGCAGATTCGTCACTCGGGGGCTGCTTCAGAATTGGAGGGAAATTCCATAGGTTCAAATTTTTTGACCTTAAACCCATAAGTCCCTCCCCCTGGCTTCAACACTAGCCTCAGGGGCTGAAGTAAACTGCTGGAGTGAAGAGGCAGGATTAGAATCAAGGAATAACTTCCTCCTCATTTCCACACGTTTCCATTCTGGATTCACTACAGCGTCATTAGAATCCCAGTGGTGGTGATGGTTATGTGCCGTGGAGTGGAGTCGGTTCCGACTCATAGCGACCCTGTATAGCATTTCTGATGCTGCCCGATTCGTAACCACTACTGGACATTTATTGGAGTCCTGGTGTGGCGCTGTAGGATAAGTAAAGAACTGCTAACCACAAGGTCAGCTGTTCAAACCCAACAACAGCTCCTTGAAAACCCCATATGGATCGCTATAGCGTAGTAGTTATGAATCCGGGCTGTTAACCTCAGGGTCAGCAATTCAAAACTACCACCTGGTCTACGGGAGAAAGATGAGGCTTTGTGCACTGTGGTTTAATGCGCCAGACAGCAAAGCCGTTTGAACTGCAAAGTCAGCCGTTCAAGCTCACCAGCTGCTCCTCGGAAACCCTATACAGGGTCGCTATGGGTCAGAACCGACTCGATGGCACTTAACAACAATGATTTACAGCCTCGGAAACAGAGTCACTATGACTCGGAACCGACTCCACTGGCACATAACCACCACCAACAACCACCATGAGTCAACAGCATTTAACAATACAACACTGGATAATATTTCAAGGAAAGAGAGGCATGAGCCTAGGGATTAGGAGTGTGAGCTATGGGACCTCAAGCTATCTCACTGGAATTTTAGGTCATCACTAATAGTTGGACAGTATTCCCTCTCTGTGCCTCAGTTTTCTCATCTGTAAAATGGGAAGTAATAGAACCTACCTCATAGGGTTATTAGGATTAGATAAATTGATACACAAAAAACATTTAGGAACAAACCCCTTGGGGTGGAATTAATCTGTCTCATAGCCACCCTATAGAACAGTGTAGAACTGCCCCACAGGGTTCTGAAGGTTGTAAATCTCTTAGGGAAGCCGGCTGTGACATCTTTATCCCATGGAGCGGCCTTGAACCCTCCACCTTTGGGTTAGCAATTGAGTGCTTTGTACCACTAAAGTTCCTTGTCCTTTAGGACAGCTCTGGCGTACAGTAAAGGCAATGTACATGTTTGTTCAATTCAATTTTCAAAAGATAACGTGTGGGGGTAGATAGAGTCCCCACTGAATAGTTTTCGTCTTGTCTAGCCAAGTCTGGTGAAAACAGATGGGGATAGGATTTTTATGATTCAATAGTGAGTAACTGTTACCGTGACTAATCGCAATTGTCACAACTGTAAAGGTAGAGGTTTTGTAACAAAAATGGGGGAGTAGTTAATTTTACAGTCCAGAAACAGAAACGGAGACCCTAGGACCATCAAGGGAGGTGAGTACAAGCGGAATGTGCGACCCTATCCAGAGAAGCAACAACACCAGAGATGGAGACAGAGATGAGGACATGGAGAGAGGGAGCAGCTGAGGACTCTAGACTCATGGAAAGAGAGGGACTGACAACTGGCGGCCAGGAGGCAGGCTTGCAGAATGTGCCCTTTGGTTGTTTAAGTTATGATATATTCCTGAATGTGTTTGTGCAATGAAATAGTGAGTGTAAAGCCTATGTTCTCCCATGAAAACTATCACTCAGATTGCAAAAATAATAATTTAAAAAAGGTGGTTAAGGATTTGTTTGTTTGGTGTGATAGATAGTAATTTTCTAAATTGTACATTGCTCAAGACTATTTGTGTGTGTTTTATTTTTTGTATTAATGTTTCAGATCTTCGGAGAACATAATACTGTTTTAAAAGATTAAAAAAAAAAAGACAACAGTTTTGGGGCTGGGAAGACTTGGACCTAGCTGAATACTCAAGTCAAATAACTGAGAATAATTTAGGTAATTCAGTTTGAATTCTTAAACCTTTTTTGTTGGAAGCCTAAATCTCTCAGAGGCAGAGTTCAAGATACCTATGAGAATGATGATGGTGCAGAGGTCAAGCACTAGGCTGTTGCTGGTTTGAGCCCACCAGCCGCTCTGTGGGAGAAAGATGTGGTCGTCCACTTCTGTGAAGATTGCAGCCTTGAACACTCTATGTTCAGTTCTGCTCTGAGTTATCTGAGTCAGAATCAACTCCACTGCAGTGCATCTGGGAATAGCCCCCTTTGTAGATAGACTTCAATCTCTGCCACCAGCAGTTTGTTGATTAACCTACTGAAAGTAAACTCCCTCAAACAACAATAAAAAACACTACGATCTGCCTCCTTAAAGTCTCCCCTTGTGAAATCTAGCCTCTTTAAGGGAAGTGTAAAGGGCATAATCACCAGTGAAATACTGATGAGTTTTTTGGGTTTTTTGCCCCTTTTATATCACTCCACCCTCTCTCCCCAAATATATTTTGACTGAGTGTATTAATCATCCAAGTAACTGCCAGATGCCAATGCAGAGGGTGGTACAGGGACTGGCTTTGTTGGAGGCTACTTTATTCTAACAAATTGCTCTTATTTTACCAAATACTACTATTTGTTACTGTGCTCAGGCAGAGGAACTTTTGTTACTCATTTATTAAGTAATGAATTGGAATGGTCATAAGCATGTCCAGACAGGTGAAAGGTTCAGAACACATCTTCCAAGACTTAGCCTGGGAGCTTAATCTAAAACCAATATACAGATGGCTCTTCTTACCTCAGCTTCACTTATATCTTCCCTCCAATTGTTCTTTTGTTCACATAATATTTCAATTGTCTATTAGAAAGGAATAACTTAAAACTTGAACTTCCAGTTTACTTTTTAATGGGCATGTACAGAACTGTGCTTCAAAGGGTCCTAGCCCAGCTATGCTGGTTGCCAAGAGAACCTGGAATGCAATCTCCAAGGTCAGGTCCCTCTAACCCATTCTCAAACAATCTGCCCTGGGCAACAATTTCAAACATGCAGTTTGTTAGAAACTGAAGAAAGACACTGATCATATGATCAGTTAGCTTTTACATAGCAAAATCTAAGCACTGTTGCATAACTCAAGAAATGCTGGTGGTGCTGTGGTTTAGGCACTGGGCAGGTAACAGAAAGTTCATCAGTTCAAACCTATGAGCTGCTCCACAGAAGAAAGGTGAGGCTGTATGCTCCCGTAAAGTTTTGCACTCTCAGAAATCCTAATGAGCAATTCTACTGTGTTCTGTTGGGTCACTATAAGTCAAAATTAACTTGATGGCAGTGGCTGTTTGGTTTGGTTTTGGGGAGGGATAACTCTTAAAAAACAATACACTTAATAAAAATGAAAGAAATTATAGAAATAAAAAAGGCTCAGGACTAAGGAGATAGAAATGGTAGTTACTCCTTTTCCCTGGATATTAAATTTAATAGCCTTATAAACGTAATACTAATATCCCTTTTTTATTCTTTTCCTAGGGCTACCAATGAAGGCCTGCTGTGGCACTGTAGGTTAATGCACTGGACTGCAACAGTTTTAACCACAAGGTCAGTGATTCGTGGTCACCTGCTTCTCCTAAGAACCCCTATACAGGGTTACTATGGATCAGAACCAACTGGACGGCATTTAACAACGACAATTAATTGTTATGATTTTTGGTGGTGTGAAGTACTGCCGAGCTGGTCCCCACCCATAGCAACCCTGTGTAGGGTTTCCAAGGAGTAACTGTTGAGTTTGAACCACCAACTCTATAGTTTCAAACTGACTTTGCAGTCCAGTGCTTTATGCCACGGTGCCACACCAGGACTCCTAACGATGTTGTTGTTGTTGTTAGGTGCCAACAAGTCGGTACTGACTCATAGTGACCCTATGCACAACAGAACGAAGCACTGCCCAATCCTGGGCCAACTTTACAATTGTTGCCACACTTGAGCTCATTGATGCTGCCACTTTGCCAATCCATCTCACTGGGGGTAGTCCTCTTTATCTCTGACCCTCCACCTTACCAAACCTGTTATCCTTCTCCAGTGACGGGTCCCTCCTGACAATATGTTCAAAGTATGAGAGACAAACATTGGCCATCCTGGCCTCCAAGGGGCACTCTGGCTGCACTTCTTCCAACACAGATCTGTTGGTTCTTTTGGCAGCCCATGGCACTTTCAATATTCTCCTCCAACACCAGAACTCAAAAGCATCAATTCTTCTAAGGTCTTCTTTATTCATTGTCCAGCTTTCGCATGCATATAAGGTTATGGAAAATACCATGGCTTGGGTCAGGTGCACCTTAGTCCTCAAACTGACATCTTTGCTCTTCAACACTTTAAAAAGGTCTTGTGCAGCAGATTTGCCTATTGCAATATGTCATTTGATTTCTTGACTGCTGCTTCCATGAGTGTTGATAGGTGATCCAAGAAGAATGAAGTCCTTGACAACTTCAATCTTTTCTCTGTTGATAAGAATGTTGTTTATTGGTCCAGTGGTGAGGATTTTCCGTTTCTTTACATTGAGATGCAATCCATATAGTAGCAGAATATTGTCAGGTATTTTGCCAGAAAAT